AACAAACATAAATTTAAATTTATTTTTAAAAACAAATGACTAGCCAGGTATGGTGGTCCACATCTTTAATCCCAGTACTCAGGAGGCAGAGGCACAGGGATCTCTGTGAGTTCCAGTCCTGCTGGGGCTACAGGGATACCTTGTCTCAAAAAGACCAAAAAAAAAAAGAAAGAAAGAAAAAAAATGACCCTTGAGTTGGCTAGCACTTAGACTCTGGAGTCTTAAAGCTGCCAAGGCGATAATGAGTCAGATTTTTAGAATGAAATCACTGACGAAACTCTGCATCATAAGTCAAGGCTCATATTCTGAGTGTCAACGCAAACAGGAAATTTGAAAAGATTTGAATATGGACTCAGAAGTGGGCAAAACAATAATGCAAATGCATTAAAATATCTAATGAACCTGTGGAGCGAATAAGAATTCAACTTTGTGATTGATTTAAAGTCCACTACACAAGATGAAACCCATACCTGGCACTTATTAAGGCCAAGAAACTGTGACTAAATAGATGACAGACACTAGGGGAGATCCTACTACAATGTTATTCTGCCACATGGACATAGTACTAAACCGACTCCTAATGATAGATCATTATACTCATAGTCATCTCTCAACTCTCACCAGAGAAGCTCTTTTTGCAACAGATGGCAAATAACACAAAGACTCACAACTGGTCAAGGTACAGAGAATGTGAACTCAGGAGTGGTCAGCCAATGGGGCATCTATACCACACTCTCTCCTCGAGGATCATATGGAAGGAGGGAGCAGAAAGACTGCAAAAGCCAGATGTGGTAGATGACCACAAGGGAATGGTGTTTTCCAGTCACAAAATGTCAGAGACACACATGCCCTCACAGTAGTTGTGGCAGTATGAACAAGGCCCTTGAAAACTAACGCCAGAAAAAATCCCAGCATAGAGGGGGGAGGTGGACAGAAGTTCAATGCTAGCTGAGGAACTATGGGCAATTGATAGCTGCTGGGAGGAGGAAGAGTCAGGTGTGGCCTCTGGCAGGTTGATCAGGCTCTGAGGTATCGACCCACACCTAAGAGTACATGTACAACACAAATCATACTGGATATTCATAAAAAAAAATACAGAAGGTATGAAGCTGGGGGATGTGGAGGTGGGTTTAGAATTGAGAGGAGTGAATATGATTACGATACATTGTATGAAATTCTCAGAGAATTAATAAAATATTAATTTAAAAAATGAATTAGAGAAATAATCAATAGCCCTGCTTAAACTAGTTACATACACTTTATATGAAATGAATAAATTACCTACCTTTTCACACTATGATTTCATTCTATGAATATTATAATATTAATTGAAGACAAAAGAGTGATTAATTCATTTTAAACATAAATTCAGATGAATACATTGACATCTACTCTAGTGATTACAGCCTGAAGAATCCAGAGTCATTAAAGGTGTACATTTTAAGAATGTTCCTTTGAGGCTGTTTCCTTCTTTTACGACTGTAGATCAAGTTGATTGATTGATTGACTGACTGATTGATTGATTGATTGATTGATTGATTGAGGTAGGGTCCCAACATGCTGCCCAGGCTGGTCTTACTTTTCCAGGCTCAAGTGTTCCTCCCACCTTAGCCTGGGTCATGCTGGGCTGAGGAAGCACACTGTGCCAATCCCTCTAGGTCAGTTTGTATATGTATAGAAACCCACCTTTCTATTTATGGGGCTTTCACTTTGGCTTATCCTCAGCAGTCTTGAGGAAGAGGATAGGTGAAGAGATCAAGCTGATGACAGTGACAGTCATCAGAGCTCATTTTCAAAACCTTTCAAACTATGTTGAAAATATGTCCATGGTTAGTCTACTAGATTAAAGATGTCAGCTGTTTCTAAAAATATGTAATAAAGAGATAAACTAGTATTATTCAGAAACTCAGAAAGATTTCTTGGCCCAGTCTGTGTAAAAGAGGTGATAGGTTTGGTTCTGAAGGAACCCATTGTGTTACATGGTTTATCATTCATCTGTGGGAGCAACAGAAGCTTCCAGGAGGTGTTTCTCCCTTTGAGATTCCTTGCTCTAAGCAATCAACCACCTCCCTTCTGTGCCCCACCCATGACTTTGACCTAAAATCCTGGGCTTCACATTAGTATACAACTCTCTAGTGATATATTGCATCAAGATATTCCTGGAGACCTTTGTGTGACTTTCAGGATCTACAGTAATAGGTTATAACAGAAATGTAGTAAATCTAATGTGAGCAATACATCTTGCAGACATTGGATTAAAAAATAATTTTATGAATATCTTAGAATATAGAAAGAATATATCTGATCCCCAAAGGACCCAAGCATCCCACCGTACTCCTGAGCTACCTCAGGTATAGAATGAAGAACCTCAGTTCTTTAACCCTACCCACTTGTGTGACCCAGGACAGAACAGACAAGGTGTTATTACTCCAACTCTCATCTGAGTGTCTGATGAGGTCAACACAGGCCAGAAGCACCATAAGAAGAAAGGATAGATTTCATATTTTGATTCTTACCTGAAGTTATATTCCAAGACTGGAAGGACTATCCATACGTTTTACTATTATAGTAAGGTGAATTTATAGCAGAGTTTGATGGTTCTTATAAACAGCGTGGAGAAGTACTTTAAACAGGACTCCATTTTATCCCCTTCACTCACTCGGCTTCTAGATGTGTTAGTTCATTGTTCTACAATCCATACTGTTTATTCTAAACATTGTTAAAGCTTGGAAGATGGAAGAGATTCTGGTTATTTTAAAATTGTTTTGCCTTCACTAATGGAGACATTTTGAGAGTCTGTTTTCCATATCAAAGTAGGTATGACTTTTAAATGAGCCTGCTGCTCAAACATTTGCAAAACAACAGGAATAATTTATCATAATGCTATGCATGTGTTGTTATGGATAGAATAATTATGCAGCTAAGGTTTTACTTGTAAGCAATGTTTACATGTATATATTATATACATTGTCTCTGTAGAGCTATGTAACAGTATATATAACATGTTCTTTTCATATATACAAACATCTGCATGTGAAATCAAATACATGGCTGCAGTTCCAACAAAATCGAGAAATACCTCTGTGTGGATTCAATGCTGCCAATAGCAAAAGTCTCAAGTCTCAGAATGATTAATGTTTGAATGTTACTCAGATATCAAATATCCTCTGATAACTCAGGCATTTAGCACATGGCTCTGACAGGCAATTGTGTCTTTCATTTACTGCCCTCCCGCAGCAAAAGGTTATTATTCCCTTTTAAAAACTGATTTTCCCCCATCCTTCCTTCTTCCTTTCCTGTCTTTCTTTCCTTACCCCCTTCCTTCTTTTATTTTTAAGACTATAGGTTCCAGCATTAAAAAGGCATGCATTCATTGGTAAAAAGCCAAATTTTTTTGGTAATGATATCACACAAAAGAACTTTTGTCTTATATATTGTAGTAGAGGGGACCAATACTATCTTTGCAATTAATGAAAAACCAATATGATGAATTACTGAAACATGCATGAAAGAAAGAATAATTGCTAGAACGTCATCTGGCATTCAGTTCAGCAGTACCGCCATGATATGCAAACTGGAATTTTTCTGCTACAGAGAAAGGGACAATAAAAAACCCAAGGACATGTGCTCCGTATATTTATGAAGCAGGCATTATTTTCTTGGTTTCCAACTTGCCTGCAGAGGTAATTATTTTAATATTGCAGCTCATTATCCAATGTACTGTGGACATCTACTACAAGGAAACAGAAGGGGATGATGACTACAAAGGAGAAAGGATGGAATTTAGTCTGTGAGAATTAATATGTGCATAATGTGAAGCCAGTTGGGGAGATCGGCATCATGGGGACTGTCCCGTAACTGTATAAAGGAGCTGCTGCCTATAGGGGTGTCTCAGTTGCTTTCCTGTATTGTTTCTAGTGGGAATGTGGTGCAGAGGGGCAAACACACTTCAGTAATAAATACTAGACTCTGGGAGCACTCAAGCCAAGCAAGGAACGGGAGAAGAGAAGCATTCTGTGGAAATTACAGATTATTCCAGTGACTTCTGAATTGTTAGAGGAAAGAAGCCATTTCCTCTCCTAGCTCTCTCTCTCTTTCCACTTAAATGAAAGTTTGATATTAACACTTAATGGTCTATGCTGTCTCCTAACATCTAAATTTATCTTTTTTCTCAGGAAAGCAATGGTAGATTTTCCTTCCCACCCTCCTGTTTCTATTCTCTAAATGTCCTTACATTTGAAAAAAAACTTTAATGAATTGCAAAGGATATTAAGAGAAAATGAAATGCCCTGCCCTGTTCCCCCAAAGAGTACTTTAAAAAAAAAAAAATCATACCGTCTAGTATTTAGAAAGAGCAAATTTTCTTCATACCACCACACCTGGTGGCATTTGCACCTTATCAATGTGTTATTCTCCTCAAGGTGAGATGGTTCCGGAACAGACAGAGGAGCTGGATCAGTGTTGAGGAGCTTGGGTGTGGATACTGCTTTTCCACGTTGGACAGCAGCAGAAGTGATCGACATTGTATGTGGTCAATTGTCATTTGTCTTCAGGAGGTCCTGTGAAAGAAGCCTAGAAGAAGAGCTTTTGCACAGGAGTCACCCACCTTGCTGTCCATAAACCACTAGGTAGAAATATCAAAATGCTCATGTCTATAAATGTTCGTCAATAATCCAGCTAACAAGCCCCCCATCCCCAAATCATTCATGTCACCCCCTTGCAGTCCCCCCAAAGCACTATATTTTCTTAAATTAAAATGTGATACCTGTGTGTATGTGTGCGTACCTGTAAATGTATTTCCATTTTTGAGGGACTGAAACATTTTTTTTTTTCAAAAAAGGAAAAGAAACTGGAGAATTTTGCTTTTTTTTTGGCGTCTTTTTTTTTTTTTTTTGTATTTTTGCGCAGACTATCTTAGGATTTTCAGTTTCAACAAAACACTACTAAAACAAAGAATCTAGTAAAATATTTGTGCATGTACTGCTAAACAATTCTAGCAATTTTATTAAGCAATACCTTTATTATTTTTAATATTCTTAACAGACTGGAACAAAACATTTTATTCAAAACAAAATATGCATACTGTACGCGTGTCGCAGGGTTAAAAGCATGATGCAGAGGACAGTCTGTTTGAACAAAAACAAATGCCTGGGGGAGTTTCATAGCTATAAAGTTAATAACTAAATTTTGTTCGCTAAGAGGACCTTTTTCTATGGATTTCCTTCATCTCCACACAGCAAACATCCGAAGTGCACTTCCCAAATGTTGTTAGAGAATAGGAAGGAATGTAAAGTGTCTTTTTAAAATTATTTGTTTTGTTTGTTTGTTTTGTAAAAACAGCCCTTATTAACTCTTCCTTCCACTGATTCTACTGTAAACTCATAAAAGCCTTTTTAGAAAGCAAATTCGTATACACTCAGCGGGTGAAATGTTCCCACAAAGGAAAAAAAAGTACAAACAGAGTTACCAGACTTCTCTTTACATCAACCGCCTAGGCGTGCTGGAGTGAGAAAGTTTTTGCACTGTAATAAAAATGGCTGATCTATTGGTTTGTATTTTTTTTTTTAAGAAGTTGTTCCTCTGTGATAATGCAGAGTTGCATACATCTTGTACCTGGAATAATTTGGAACTCTATGTTGAGAAATACTGGGATAAAATTGTACATATTCTGTATATTGCAGATGTTTGAGAGTTTCTAGAATCCCTTCCACCATGATAAAGGAGGAACAGAAGTCTCGATTTGTGTTCATGGTCTCTTTGCTCCCTTTACAATGGCCAAAATGCGCTCCGGGATCAGTGAGGAGGCTGTGAGCGGCTTTTTCTTCGCTCCCCACCTCATTGGCTACAGGCGGTTCCTGTCCGCCTGACCAGCGAGAAAGGACTGGAAATGCCAACTGGAGCGACTCAGTTCATGACAGCATTTTTTTTCTTTTATTGTGTTTTCAACAAAAAAACATGTGAACTGCCTGATTCCAATCTCATGGAGCGCACTGTTGGTTCATCTGAAAGCAACCCCACCAGGCCCCCTGGCTCCGCCATGTTCTGCTCAGTTTGTGCAAGAGCACACTCCCACCACTGCGATACACAGACAGAAGCAAGCGGATGTTGTCTGCTTGGGGGACAGAAGAGGGCAAGGGCAAGGACAGCCTGCAGGGCGTGGCGTCCATGGGTTGGAAGGAGGCTTAGGGATTTTTTTTTATTTTTTATTTTTTGTTGTTTTCTTTTTTTTGTCTTTTTTATCTTTTTTTAATTCTTTTTTTGTTGTTGTTGTTTTTTTGCTATACCATGAGGTCATAGCTCATTCCTCTAATAGAAACTGACAGGACATAGAGACAGAACTATCTGATGAACACACAATGATAGAAATAGATAGATAGATAGACAGTGAAGAGACTTAGTTTACCTCTGAGAAACCATCCCCCAAAAGAAATCCTGTATTAACAAGTGCAGAAAAAATAAACAAACAAATAAACCCAAACCGAACCGAAAGCAAAGAAAACCTCAACATTAAAACACAGTGTATAAAATGGTGTGAGAAATTGAGTCACTTTGCAGCCTTTCAGTCAATAAAAAGCTGCGGTCGTGTCCTTGTTTGGAATCGGGCCCATCTTTTAAATTTTACCCCAAAGGCCTTGCAAGAAGTCAGAGGGTAAAAGCCCCCGGGTTCTGTTCAGTGGACAGCAGGTGCGCCTCCCGGGTGGGCCGCTGCTGCTCTGCGCACGCGCGTGCGCCTCTCCTGCAGAAGTGCGCACTTGGACCGCTCAGGTCGCTGTGCGCACGAGTGTGGAGCTCAGTCCTCCTGGGTGGAGTTGTCCTCGAGCGCGGGGAGGCCTCCCAGGCCCAGGCCCGTGGTGTTCTGCGCAGCCGAGGCTGTGAGCACTGTGTGCAGGAGAATCAATACAAGGACGCACAGCTTGAGCCGGCCGGGACACAGTCTCGTAGCCGAGGACACTGTGAGCGACGTCCTGGAACAGGAACCCCTTCTGTCTTTAGTCCCTTTGGCTCGGGATGTGGATTGCTCCTCGCTGATGACGTCACAGCATTCGGGTTCATCATTGGTTATGAAGGTTTCGTAGAGCCCTGGGGAAGAAGAACAGGGAGGGTTAGAAGAATGCTGAGGATGCTGAGCCAGGAGCTCCACAGAGCAGTTTGCGCTCGGGACAGCCTCATCCAGACTCAAACATGTTTCAGGACCGTCAAGTCAACAGCCTGAATGAATGGTCAAGCGTGGTCTCAAACCAGTTTTACGGTGTGGTTTTCTGTAACAGGAACATGCTGCGTGGCTGTGAACGCACAACAGTGAAATCAGACTTGTGGTTCTGGATGGTCCTTCAGACCAAGTAGAGTCAACCATCTTGTCTCTTTCATAAGAATGCAGTCAACTAATGTAGGGTATAAACTAACACGAGCAATCTATGCTAAGTGAAAGGACCCCACCCGTCACTAGTCCAGTGTGGAAACCCTGTTTATTACCCACAGTTCCCTTCGCTGGACCTCATCCTGTTTTGTATCTGTAGGATAGTTCGTGGATTTGTCTACGCTTCTAATAGCGGGTCCTCTTGGTGCTCCCTAAGTGCTTTCTCCGCTTGCCACGCTGTTGGTGACACAGGAACGGAAGCTTTAATGGTCCCATGTGTAGACCTTCGCAGTCTGAAGCTCTCTCTCTTGCTTGCCTTTTCCAGTCTAGCTCCAACTTTGCCTTTCTGTGACTTATCTGTCATTCCTCTCACCCTCGTGTTTCCTCCTGGCTGCATCCTCCCTTGTTCTCTCCGTTCTTCCTCTGAAAACACACATTCGTATTCTTAAATTGATAAATGCATATTTTGAAATTTTCAAAATGATGAATAAAATAGCTTCTTGTACATAATTTCTACAATTTTGTGTCATGCTGCATCGCATATATTTTAAGTAGCTGGACAAACCTTTGGGCAGATAATTGTATTTTTTTTTTCATTTGATCAAGAGATTTTCCCAAAGGTGTTAGAATGAACATGCTGTACAAATGTATCATATGATTCCCATGTTTGAAAATCTTAAAAAACAGATGATAGGGGTTTGTCACGATTACGAGAGATTACAGTTTAGCTCAAGTGCCTAACAGAAGTAACTTTTGAGAAATTTGGCTAGTGTTACTCATAGTAGCTAGTTATGGTATTTCACAATCTCCACCCACCACATAAGCTGAACACTTTTCTGGGCTCCCTGAACTCACTACTCAATGTCCTGCAACTCTGGACCACTGACTTCTCCAGTACTCAGGGCCTAGCCAGCCTACCTTTTCTACCTTTGGTTACCTCCCCTACCATCTGCCTTTAATCCCATTTATCCTCAGAGGGAACTCCCTGTGTGAGGCCAACACAAAGACTTCCAGATTGCTAGACTGCCAGTGCATTTTGCCCAACTCTTCAACACAACAATTACTATATTTTTCTTTTAATCACAATTGTCCATTTTCACGTCACTTTTCTTAACCATTCATCAATTTAAAAGTGTGAACTGTACATTTTCACCATTACATTCTCGATACGTATGTATCTCTATAGATATATATGTATTTCAGAATGCCTAGACAAAACAGACACTTGAGCATTTATTACATAAAGGAAGTACATCTATTTAGTTACAAAGAATCTTTTCAACAATATATGCTTCAGTCTTCAGTGTCTCTTAAAGAAAAGGTCAAGATATCCTTATAACGATGCTTACAATATTCATTTCTTCTAGGCATTCAAAGGTAAACTTCACCTTCGCCTAGGAAGAATATGGAAAAAAAAAACTGAATTAATGAGATCTGAAGCTCCAACATTTTTATTGCTTGCTATTTTCTTTCACGTACCTCACTGATAGACTACTCATTGTTGATGTGTATGTTTGCAGCACTACAGCAAAAAGAGTTTGAAGGACGTTGACATGGGTAAGAACCTAAAGGTTTTGAATAAACATTTCAGACTGCTAAGCATCAGAATATTTTTTCGCAAGGTCATCAAAATAAGCTGGTTTTCTTTGACGTTGTTCCAAGATGGTTTCAAATCTATAAGTAAAATCATCACAGACAGAATAAGGCAATGAAATTTGGGTCAACAAATGAACACTTCTTTTGGACTGACACAATTCATAACATTTCTTCTTCCCCCTCTGCATCTTTTGAGGAAGAGTTTTCATTAGGAGTTACAGGCGCTTCCATGCTAAAGTTCAAATAATTCCACAGGATGTATTAAAAAAGGAAAAAAGAGCGGGGCATGGTTGTACACGCCTTTAGTCCCAGCACTCCGGAGGCAGTGGCAGGCGGCTCTCTGTGAGTTCATGGCCAGCCTGGTCTACATAGTGAGTTCCAGGTCAGCTGGATCTACTGGGAGACCCTGTCTCAAAAAGACCAAAAAAAAAAAAAAAAAAAAAAAAAAAAGGAAAAAAAGACAGTCCTTGAAGCCCAAACCTCAAGGGCTTTCTTCTTAGAGACCTCTTTAGCTCTAGCTTAGAGTCACATGTTCTGTCTTTCTTCTTAGAACTCTCTGCGGACTTGAAGAAATGTGGGGATATAGTATACATTCTTCTCCTTCCTCCAACAAATACTCCTGTCTCCAGTCCATAACCATTACCCTTAGAAAGAGCAACTTCAGGGTTCTGTGTTCATTTTACTAGGATGTCTTGGACAAGATCCTTAGTCAAGCCACACAGGCACCCTTATGCTAAGCACTCAGCTTTCCCTGGACCTCTTGGTTCATGTATCACTAACTGAGTCTCAAGTCTACAACATCTACAGCAGATGTACCACCAGCTTATCCTCCTGACAAAGAATCTATTGGGCTTCTGCCCATTGGTCCAATGGTTTCCAGGCCTGTGATATAGCTCCATGTTACTCTTGCTATTCCTTTATTTAAATTAAATATATTTTAGGAGATACATAAAGACACAACAGTTGTACGTATTTATGAGACATTATGCAGCATTTCAATACATATATACATTGTTTTGCTTAATTCAGCTTAATCATATCTATCCCTCATTTCATCATTTCTTTACGGAAAACATTTAAAATCTTTTCTTCCAGATTTTAAAGTGATAGTACATTATTGTTGTGGATGGTCACTCTACCATACAATACCACACCAGAACTTATTCCCAGGTATAACTTGGTACCCATTGATCATCCCTTCCTTTCCCCCACATGAATTTGGTAAACACCATTCTATTCACAACTCGTAGGAGAAAACCAACTGTGTTTTCACATGGTGAGTTTACACAATACTTGACTTTCTGTACCAGGCTTATTTTACTTAAAAGGATGAAGCTCAGTTCGTTCATGTCGATATAAATGGAAGGATTTCATTCTTTTCAGATGGTGGAATGATACTCATATATATGTGATATATATCACATATTCTTTATCAATTCCTCAGTTGGACACTTTAGTTGCTCCATCTTTTAGCTAATGTGACTGGTGCTTTCAGTGAACATTGCTTTTAGTACTTGGTATTTTCATAATGATTTCATTTCCTTGGGTGATGGAAGACCTTTATTTTTCAAAATATTTATTGTCAGGTTTACTGGATGGTATAATGTGTGCTTAGCATGTGAGAGGCTCTGAGTTCCATTAACTCTCCCCTACTGAAAGAAAAGAAATCTTATTATGTGGTTGTTTTAGAGACCAATTAAGGACAAGAAAGTCAAATGTTTAAATGAAATATTAAAACATATGATGTTATTTATAGTAAATGCTTCATCACCTCAGATATTTACCTTTTGTCATATTGGCCTTTAGGAATAAAGCTTTGTGTTTGTGTATTTTTCACAACTTTAAAACTTTTTGTTTAAAGTTCTGATTATGAAAGCTTAGAAATAGCAATACAGCGAGAGATAGAAAAATCACCCAAATCTGACTTCCTTACAATGAAAAAGACAAAAATGATAGATTGCAGGAAATTTTTTATTTTTTAATCAAGGCAAACACACACAATGCATATAATTTATAGATTTTATATACAACCTATGTTTATTGTGAAATTATACTTACATTTTGCACTTAATTTGCTAGTGTTTGTATTATACCGTGTTACAAGTGAGATTACATAGAAAATGTCATGTGTGTGGTTTTAGGAACATGATGTCTTAAGTATTTATGTTTTCTAAAATGAGTAGATGTCTGTAGTGAAACCATACTGAACATGACAGCACTGTTGCACACATGACCTCACAGCAGCTATGACAGCCTGCATAAGACCTGTACAAGATCAAGGGAGACAAAATCCCAGCAAGGGTGGGGGAGGGGCTCATGAAGTCCCAACCTCAGCTGAAGAACTAGTGGCAGTTGATGGCTGCTGGGGGAAGGGCAGTCAGTTTTCTTAAGGAATGTGGCACCTGAGAGCTTACCCATGCTCTCCTAGATGACCCCACACCCAGGCAAGTGGAGGTAGCACTAAACTGATGCAATGGAATGTAAAAAATGAGTCCATGAAGCCTGGAGGGAAAAGTTGTGGGAAGGACAGGGGAGGAGCTGAAGGGGAGGAAGAAGGAGTGGATTTGATGAAAACATATATGCAAACAATAAAATATAAACAATAAAATAAAATCAGAAATTAATAAAACAGTTACTATGACACATATGAATATGATTTCTGAAAGGCAATGCTCAGATAGTTTTCATTTTATTTTCTGATCTATCTGTCAAGATTATTTTCTGTCATTTGGATAGTTCGTATATGTCTAAAATTAACTCATTTCATAGAAAGTTTTACATTAACAGAGCTTTATATAATGTCCCTTTTTGTTTGTTGTTTGGTTTGAGACAGGGTCTCCCTGTAGCCTCAACTGGTTTGGAACTCACTATGTAGACCAGGTTAGCCTCCATCTCACAGAGCTCCATCTGCCTCTGCCTCTCAGGTACTGGGATTTAAGATGTGTGCCACCAGGCCTAGCCTGTAATGTCTTATTTTAAACTCTTAATTTATTCACATTGCCTTCTCATTGTTAATATTTTACTGTATTGTATTTATTTCTGTTTATTTTCTTGTCCTTGATGAGACAGTGTTTGGTCAGTGTTACTTGTCTTATTAGATATTTAGCTCTTGAATTTACTCCCTTTG